CAGCATATGTGGGCAACCAAACCGGCAGATGATGTTCTTCCTGAAAAATCGCTCTACGTCAGCTTCTTTAATAGATGATAGAGCTTCGGCCTCGATCCATTTCGTAAAGTAGTTGATGGCGACAATCATGTCTTTCTTATATTTTGTACTAAAATCGATTTTTTTATAGTTTGATTCGGTGGGAATTTGATTTTCTAGTATTTTTATTTGAATCCAAATCGGGTGTACTTCCTTATTTACATTGTAAAATTAAGTAAATAGAATAATATAAAAATAAATGAGAGTGAAAATGCTGAAAATTGAAATAAGGTAATTTGTACAATGTCATTGTTTTGACGTTAGGAAAACAAAAACAAAGGAAACGCTGCACGCAAGTAGCGTGCACACCTGCCTGGTGTACTGGTGTGTTGCGCCATCTGGAGCATTTCATCAAGCAGTTTGTGGGAAATTTGCAAGGCGTCAACATCTTTGCCTTCAATGGTGGATTCCAAGCTTGCAGGAGTAAATTGACCCATTTTGCCTCTTATTGGCGTGAGAGGAACCGACTCATAGCTACCTGGGTGTGGGGCCCAGTCCCCGGCACTGCGACGGGGGGACTGGTCATTCCAAGAAACCTAAAGTTCCGAGCACTCCGATTTCGATAGTAGTGGTGGCGTTGCAAGGAGATGAGTGGAATGGCATTGATGGAGTTGGATAGTTCTAGCGGATTTGTAGACGGCGCGTTATCCATATTTCAGCTTTAGATGGCGACGCCCTTCCGTATTCGTGCAGTTCGAAGGTAGACGATTCCAACAAGACCGTCGAAGTCGCAAGGAAACCCTAGGAAAGTCTCCGATCGAAGCTTGGTCGAGACCTCTAATTTTGGTTGTGCCTTTTATTTCACAACGGTGGATTGGAGTTCTTCACCTCAGTTTTTGTTCTCTAGACATCCCTGAGTTCAACAGCGTTGTCAGCGATATGAAACATGGGTGGAGGCCGTCATTTCAAGGATGGCGATGGCTGTGGAGAAATTTCCAATCGTGCCTAAGCTGGTGACAACGTGAGCCCTTAGGCTTGGAGAACAGAGACCCTTGGTCATAGAGGGACAGGTCATGCGGCACGTGGTGGCTTAATGGTCAGTGCCAGTGATGGAGCAAGCTGTTGCGTCGTGACTTTTATGTTTTTGTTGCTTTTGTATCGCTTGGCTGGAGGCATGTCTGTTGGGGTTTTGGTAAATACCCAAATCTTTGTATCTGAAATTCCAATTTTTCTGGTTGTTTTGGTCCGACAGAAAAATAGATTTTTCAACAACAAAAGGCTTGTGTTCACCACGGCCATGGGTGGGTTAAGGGAATGTCTTTGGTGATGCTGTGGTCGTTCTCACTGTGTTCCTCGAGGTGAGGCCTCTCACCTTGGTGATTTGAGGGCTTTGGATCAATGACAGATTTGATTTATGAAGGGGGAAACAAATTTCCCTTTATTTGGATTCGAGAGTATCGCATTGAGTATATCTCGAATCTCTCAATGAAAGCACCAAATATGTTTGAGCAAATTTCTGCATGGGGAATATTCGCATGTAGATTCTTCGCCCTTCGAGCTTCCTTCTCTCTCTTCTCTCGATCCTTGTGAAAAAGACCAAAGTAAATAGATACTAAGATAACAGAAATGATGGAGGTCTTCTCTCACTGTGAGAGCCAGGTGGCCGGAGCCGAGAATAAGATAGTGGTGTGAGAGAGAGGGTGTTTCAAGGGTAGAGATCATATTACCTTACATGTGTGATGTAGCCATATATTTATAGATTTCTTGTAGGCTAGGGTTTGAAGAATAATCCTTATTTGATTAGGATTATTCTTACCCATAAATAGGAGATTGGAATTAATCAAAGAGATTTTATAGAAATCTCATCCTTGATTTAGGGAGATATTCCCATCTTAAACCAAAGATAATTTCCCTAATTAAATAGATTTAATTAAGGGAATTAGTTGACTTAAAGAATATTCCTTTTCCACATGTCGTCCATCTATTGGTTACCGAAATATGTGTTCCCACAACCTTAGCTCTAAAATGTAAGTCATAGTGCACAAGTAAACTAGGTTCAGTCAAAGATGATTGTGTTCTTGCATTTGTAATTTTGGATTTGTTAATTCCATGATAAAGGCACAAGATTTCTTCAATGCAATTAGTTCTATGCATGCTGATGTTCTCTTTCTTGGTATTAAGAATGACATGACAATCAATAAATAGTGGTTGTTAAGGCCCGTTTGATAACCATTTCAATTTTAGTTTTTAGTTTTTTTTTTCATTTTTTGTGCTAAAGTATAGAGGAACAAGAGGGAGAATGGAAGTGAGAATGAGAGTGGGGATGAGACTTAGAGGGAAGATGAGAGGGGAGGATGGGAGAGATGAGTAACAAAAGTGAAAACTAAAACTGAAAATTGAGATCTATTTGAATTTTTTTGTTGTTGTCAATTTTGTTACTCCTCCCCTCTCATCCTCTCTCTCAATCTCATACTCACTTTCATTTTCCTCTATACACTAGCACAAAAAATGAAAAATGAAAAATAAAATCGAAATGGTTATCAAATGGGCCCTAAATGAATTGTCTTTTATAAAGAGCGAGCTGTTGGAATGTATTCTGCCATGGCATCAATGAAACTTATGAAAGGAAAAATTGCACTCACTGTTTGACCATGGTAATAGGTCTAGAACTCTCCACAAATGTGCATTTGAATTTGATTCCCAAATTTTTATCTACTAGGGTTTTGTTTTTTAGGTTAATACGTGTTTTAGTTTTGAGGGCATTTATTTCTATTAAGTGAGTTTTATGCTATACTTAAAAGCTTTTACAAAAACTTAACATTTATAAAAGTATGGGCCAAATTTTATATATATATATATGATAAAACCTTCGTCTTCTGATAATTTCTCTATTAATTCAGCTACGCGTCTTCAAATTAACTATAATAATGCTCAAGTACACTCTTATTTCCTCAAATTTGGAAATTAAAGATACCTCCCAAAATTACATATTTTCTTGCTTGTTTTTACTAAGAAGATTTAATACTAGGGAACAACTTTCTCATTCTACTCATATTTCTAATATATGTAATGTTTGTAATTTTTTTTCCTGAAACTTACGCACATTTTTTCTTCATGTCGGTATTCAAATTAAATATGGAATCGTCTTAAAGATTTTGGTGTTACTACTCCTCATTCTCATATTAATATTATTGAGTGGATTGTATCACAATGGAATCATGTTTCTCCGTCATTTCAAGAATTTTTTGGGTACTATTTTTTGAAAAATTTGGCAACAATTTAATCACTTTCTTTTCTACAATGGAATCTTGTTTCTCCGTCCTTTCAAGAATATTTTTAAAGTGATTGTAATACGACAAAGATAGCTTCGATAATGGCGGCAGTTCTAGTGATGGTTGAAACAATGTGGTGGTAATGGTAGTGATTGCAAGATGGTTTGGGTGATGAGAATTGCAAGAAATAAACTCGAACCAAAAAATAAATATTTGAATCGACATGTGAAAATTATATGGGCCAATTTAGAAAACAAAAACCAAGTGAAATATCGTTTAATCCATTAAATGAAGTCTTTGACTATGGTTTTATACATCAATAAATAGTCGAACTCAAACTAATATCCAAGTGGGTACCTTGCATTAAAATGGAAAACCTAAATCCATCTGATAATTTATAGAAGAAAGCTTACTTCCTAGCTTAAGATTTCCCATCAATTCCCAAATCCAAATCCAAATCCAAATCCTTGATCTTGAATTTCCCTAAACACACCACTTTCTTTTTGTCCACCTCATTTTGGTACATGCAATTCCAATGTAACAATTCCTTTTCTTTTTCATGAATAAATACTCTCAAATATTATATTATCAATACAAGCACCTTACTATAATTAACAACCAAACCTACTCTCATTAATGGAAATAATAATAATAATAATAATTCAAAATCATATATATAGTGACGCTTGCATGATCATCAAAGGGTTATTTGCGTATCAAAATTCGAAGAGAAAATAAAATTCTTTTTTTTAATAAAACAAAATAAAATTACAAAGACGATCGTCTAAGGATTCCAAAAAGAGAAAATAGAATTCACTTGTAGCTTTTTGTTTGTTCCAAAATTGTTTTATTTTAAATTCAAGAGCAGGGTTTTTTTAGTTTTTTATTTTATTTTTTTTCCACCGTGGGGGAAGGAGGGGGGCGAAATTTCTTGTCGTTTCAGATGTCTCTCTGAGGCTGATATATTATTGTCGTTCCTCATAACCCAGTATGGTATTATCAGATGTGATTTTACCAAACTACCCTTGAATAAAAAAAGGGGAGACTCACACGGGTTTTCACTATCACTTGCCCCTCATTGCGCGTGCGGTTAACTTCTCGTTCACGGCGGGACGCATAGTCGCGAATGACCCAGCCCAATCCACGTCATCATCGGTGGGCCCTACGCTTCAAAATAATTTGGAAAACCCTAAATGCACGACACATTCACGCCAAATTCACCCCAAAATCAAATCCAAAATTCACAGATCCCGCCTCGAGGAAACCTCGCTCTCCATCGGACGCTCCAGAATCCCCCACGTGTGTCTGCTTTTTCCATCCGCACCGTCCTTGACAGATCAAACGGTCAGTTTCCGGGGCAGCAAGGGAATCATCTTCGACCGTGAGATCGACTGCCCAAGCCCGATCGACGGTTCACAAACTGCCCGAAACGTCCTCGGGTAGATCTGGCCGCCTTTAAGAAGCGGCCCTAGCCCTCCTCTCGTTCCTCGCTCAGATTAGGGTAAAATCCCCAAACCCTAACTTCTTTCTACACATATCTTTTGTATCTCTCTTCCCCAATAGCTGACGGCGCGTGGGATCAATTGATGGCGCGTGTGGGTCACGACTAGGCCGATTCATGGTGCCTGGTCCATCACCTGCATTGAGAATCCCTAGCCGGAGCTCAGCTGGAACCCTACCCGAGGACGAGGCTTCGAAAACCGTACAGCTATGGCGTCCGCCGTCTTAGCGAACCGGAACGAACCCAATTGGCCACAGCAGCCCCGAGGTGGAGGAGCCGGAGCCGGAGGATTCATGGGGAAGGTCCCCTTTTCTTCTTCAAACAGTAACCGTAACCCTAACCCTAACAAGCGACAATTCAAAGCTGACCGCCCCGATTTCAACGATGAGTCGCCGGCCGTCACCCAGACAGCCTCAGACGACGCGTCGTCGATCAACCACCATCGCCGATCAAACACAAACGACATGAATTTCGTACAGGCCCAATACGTCAGCTTCAACATCGCGAGCTGTTCGAGAAAGGAGCTGGTGGAGCTAAAGGGCCGTCTTCTCTCGGAGCTAGACCAGATTCGCATTCTCAAGAATCGAATCGAAGCCGGTGACTTCAACCCTAAGCCGCCCCACAAGAAGCCCATCGGCAACAAGAAGATTGTTGGGTCGAAACGACCTTTGCCGATTGCTCACGGAAAGGAATCAAATTCCAATTCCAAGCGGTCTCATTTGGAGAATGGGAATCTGATGAAGAATTGTGGCTTGATTTTGTCCAAGCTGATGAAGCACAAGCACGCATGGATCTTCAACAAGCCAGTCGACGTTGTGACTATGGGGCTTCACGATTACTACGACATAATCAAGAATCCCATGGATCTTGGCACCGTGAAGACGAATCTCGCCAAGGGTATCTATTCTTCGCCGTTCGATTTCGCTGCAGATGTGAGATTGACTTTTGAGAATGCCATGCGGTACAATCCCCAAGGACACGAGGTCTATGGGTTTGCTGATCTGCTTCGATTGAGGTTTGAGGAGTTGTTTCAGCCTCTGAATGAGAAATCGGGAGATGGGTTTCGGTCGGAAAAGGGTTCTGATGAGGAGTTGCAGGCCAGTTCTTGGAACCATGTTGAGCCGGAGAGGGTTCCAAAGAGGGAGACACCTGTACGGATCGAGAAAAAGCCTGAGCTGGTTCGGCCTCCCCCGGTTCGAGCTCCGCCGGTTCAGGCCCCAGTGAGCTCATCGAACCCAGACCCAGCATTGGTGCAATCGTCACCGGTAAGGAAGAATTCACAGGTAAAGGGCCCAGGTGTGAAGCCGTTGAAGCAGCCGAAGCCCAAGGCTAAGGACCCAAATAAGAGGGAGATGAGTATGGAAGAGAAGCACAAGTTGGGAGTTGGGTTGCAGAGTTTGCCTCAGGACAAGATGGAGCAGGTTGTGCAGATTATAAAGAAGAGGAATGGGCATTTGAAGCAGGATGGGGATGAGATTGAGCTTGACATTGAGGCTGTTGATACAGAGACCCTTTGGGAGCTTGATCGGCTTGTGACCAATTGGAAGAAGATGGTTAGCAAGATTAAGCGGCAAGCATTGATGGGCAACAACAACAGCAACAGCAATAGCAACATTGCTTCCAACAGAGGCAACGAGGTAAATAACTGATTGAATTTTGAAGTTTATTTACATTGGCATTGTGTCTATACTGTCATTTCGTTTGGACAATGTTTGCTCATTGGGGGTGTGATTTTGTGTTGTGTAGGAATTACCTGCAAGTGAGAAAGTTGATGTTGCAGCAACTACAGAGCCAAAGAGGGCAAAGAAAGGTGAAGCAGGAGACGAAGATGTGGACATTGGTGATGACATGCCAATGAGCAGCTTTCCACCAGTTGAGATTGAGAAAGATGTTGGGGGAGGCCATGCCAGTAGTGATAGCTCAAGTAGCTCCAGCAGTTCCAGCAGTGGTTCCTCCTCATCAAGCGGTATAAACCCAATACTGCAATTTTGATTTGGCATTGGTGTAAAACCACTTTAATTATTGCCGCATTGGAAAAAACAAAAACTAAATGCTTAAATGTGTGGCGATTGGGCTTGTTACAGATTCAGATTCTGGTAGTTCATCAGGGAGTGACTCAGATGATGATAATGCTCAGTCCTAGTTGTGCGTTCTGCTTTGAATTGAAGGACATTGGAGAGAAGACCAATGTGGGGGAAGCTGGCTGGAGAGCATGCTTTCCATGTGGGAAGGGCATGGGAGTGGATCGTGTTGATGAGGTATGAATTGCTGATATTGCTTCTGTGAATTTATGATGCCGCTGCTGATCTTCTGTGGATTTATGGGGCAGTTTTTTGTGGCCATGGGCTGAATTGCATATTTACTCTGTGCAGGTCTCAGAACTGCGCAAAAGTAAATTTGTGAACTTTGTTGTGTGGTGGTTCTTGCTTGCAAATTGGAAGCGAGCATTGGTTGTTTTGCTTGGAGGTGTAAAAAAAATTGTGAAATGATGAAAAAATTGTTGTAGGTGAGTAGGTAGTGAAACAGAGTAGTGGAAAGAAGAAGAGAGTTAGTGAGAGAAGTTTAGAGATTTGAAACACTTTGTACACAATTTACAGAGAGAGCTAGTACATAATTTTCCCCAATTGCAGATGCTCTTGTGCCTTTGTTGTCTTTTTCTATTTGCCCGACATCTTTTGCTTGATCAATGAATGAAGCATAAGGAGGCAAGGGACCTTTTTGGTGAATATAGCCACAACACAACTGGACCCCTTTCCCTTTTCTTCGAACAAACAGATTCTATGCCTTCCATTTCATCAACTATGCAAAGTTTTGTTGGAAATTGTATTTTATAAACAGCCTCCTGATGGGTAGTTAGTTAATTAATCACTAATTAGTGGGTTACTTAAAAAAAGATGAATGGAATAGAAGAAAATTATTTCTAGGCATGATGTTTGCCAGGCTTGCCTGTCTAATAAGCATGTGCTACTCCATTACCAATTTTACCATTATGAACAAGTTTGATGATGTGCTCTTTTGCATCTGCAAGCAAGACTGCAATTGGATGAACAATGCCCGAATCAATCAAAGTTTATATTCTAATCCCAAAAAGTTGAATTAAATAAACCAACCAGCTGGTCCAACAAACTGAAAGTGTTTGATGCTGAAACATCCACGTGGGACTTGATATTTATTATTGCGATTGTTGTTTATTGCAGAAGGTTAAGTTTTGCTTTATGCAAAGATGAGTTTAATCAAATTGATAAAAACGGCTCTTTTTCAGTTTAGTCAAGTTAATTAAAATGGATATGCTCCATTGTAAAAGTCAAGGCAGCAAAGTATTATTGGATTCCTTTTCGATTTGACGAAGTGAGCATTTGGCCATTTCAACTGTGCTGAGATTACAGTTTCTGCACAAAACACAGAAAAACCAAAGTAGCTCCCTTTTTAACAATTCCTAGGTCCTGAAATTGTATTCAAATTATCAAGTGCAGCATTGTTGAGGAAATATACAGCCTTTCAAATGCTGTTTTGTTGACTTTCGGACTTTGAAAAAGATGTCTCCATCCCTTCCTCTAGAATGGAGGAAAAAGATTTCTAGACATAATGAAGGGTCAAAATCCTGTTTACTTTTTTAATTGGTCCCTATTTGGCATTTGATAGCTCACATAATATGCAGCCTTCAACAGCCAGAGGTCAAAGACTCTAGACTTGGTGTGCACAAAATTAGACCCATCAGCAGTTTATGAATGAAATTGAAAATTCTCCTGAATAAGTAAAAATCAAAAGGCCGCTAGAAGAGTAAAGAAAATCAGCAAGCTATATGACAACGGAAGAGAGTTGGGATTCAAGTGCCACGAGGCTATTCAATTAAAGATAGTTGCACACATACTTGCCTGCTATGACATAACTCATAAAACGATCTGAAAACTAAAAACTCGTAAACCGTAAAAGTGACCTACTAAATGGAATCACACAAAAACTTGCAAAAATGCTTCAACTGCAAAATTCTTCTCAGTTATAAACGTACCTTCCTCAGAAAAATTGAGGCAAACAATAGACATCTGCCCAACCTTGTTCCAAAAGTCAAAAATGGTGATTGGTATTAGCACGAAGTACTTTCAGTTGTTCCCGACTTAACATACACAAGAAACATAACTCAATTCATGAGGCTCAGCACATTTACTCATTCACTATCTTCTTCATATTAATAAATTGACCACCAAGTTGCGATTCGCACTTGGTATGAGCATCTGGGGCTAAATTTTTAAGGAAAGACTTGGTCAGCTTAAGGGTTGTTATCATCTGAAGAATCCTGATACAAAACTTCCGCGCTTCAGCCCGTCTTGACTGCTTTTCTGGCATATTTGTCAACAATTGCTCTACCAAACGACAGAGTTTCTGTAGATGGCTTTTCATAATGTTCTTCAACGCTTCCTGGCCGCTTCCATCAGTGGAACCCAGGGACTTCAATATTTCACTCACCAAATCAAGTGCTTCTACTCGTCGGAAATCCGACTTTGAACTGCCACATTTCTCCAAAAGGAAGCCAAAAAGATGGTGCCCTATCCATGGCCGCCTTCTAAATATTTCTTTCAAAAATTCAGATTTGATTTGAGACTTTTTACTACTGAAATATTCTACTAGAACACCCTGGAAAATATCAAAAACACCCTGCAGCTCAGTCTCTGAAAAACCTTTTGCTTCAGTTATCTTCAAAATCCAGAAAGTGGAGCTCTGTGCAAGGGCAGAAATCATTTTGGGTCGGTTCCAGGGGGCTGACTGTTTCTTCTTGGACAGGTTAGCTGCAGATTTCTTTCTCTTGATTGGTTTTGATGCCAACTTTAAGTTCTTTTGCAACAAAGATTCTAAGGTACGTAGCTCCACATCTTCACCCTTAGGATAGTCCTTTGCTTTAAATATCTTCTTTTGCAGAATTCCCCATATACGCTGTCCAAGCTGTTCACTACTTTCTGCAGTAGAAGGTTCAATAAATGCCTGAGCCAAGTTTGAGTAAACCAACAAAACCTGTGGTTTACCTGTGGCAATCGAGTCAACCAGAGGCACAAAAACAAAAGGTAAAAGTTAGAAAGAAAAAGGAAAAAGTACTGTGCACATCAAATATCATGATGTATAAGTCCCAATTTTCATTTATAAAACACGCATAACCTCCTACTCCTCAATCAATTAAACTTAAATGGAAGAAAACATCTTCTCTAATCTGTGCTTGCAAAACATATTGCAAGTTTTTTCTGTACACCAGCTAATTTCAATACCACACTTGCCTGGATTTTCATGTAGGTAAATTTCTAGCAACGACAAAACACGAAGCTTAAACAGCATGAGTTGGTGATGCGCAGTGTCAGCCCCAGCTACATTCTTTTTCGCTTTGCACATCTGGGCAAACTCAGCATTCATCCGGAACATTGTATCATCATCCCATCCTCCATCAGACTCATCAGAAGCTTCAGGAATTTCTTTGATAACTTCCTCAACTGCATCAACAGCCTCAGAGTCAGCCTCAGAGTCATCAGACTGCTCATCACTCTCACCTGTTTCACCTGTCTCAGCATCAATGGCCTCATCTTCTTCAATGTTAATAAAATCATTGTCATTGTCGTCGTCACTAATGTTGTCCCTATCAGCCTTCTTCTCATGTCTAGCAGGTTTCAAGTTCTTCTTAATGACCATCAACATCCGCAACAGACCATCATCCGTGATATCATCACAGAAGTATTTAAAAACCTACAACATAATTCCAGACAAATATTCAAGTAAATTTTTGCTTGAAATAGCTTTCCTTGGAAAAGTGACACTTTTGACAAGTGCCCACATCTATATGTAGACAGACACAAGAGAAATCTAAAATATATACATTGGCAGTCCAACGAAGTATCAGTATCTAATGATGTAGCTCCAGCATGAAATCTACTAATCTAGCATCAGCTGAGTGAATTAAAAAGCCCAACTAATTAAATTATAGAATTAGAAGAAACAACTACAGCCAAGTATCAGTGGCAGTGCATGATAATTAATCAGAGAAAAATTGCCAACCTAGATAATAAAAAATTCACAACATTGTAACATCAAATAAATGACAATGATCATAGAAGTGAGCTAGCATTTCAAGCATAGCATAAATGTAAAATTATTTAAAAACCAGAAGCCCAGAGTCCCAAAATCACACCTGCTCAATAGAAGTTCGCATAGGAGCTGATGACTGTGGCAGCAATGAAAGCAATGTATCCACAAGAACATCCATTACCGCAGGTGTATCATCACCATCTAAGCCATCTTCTCCAGGAGAATCAAGGAGATCAGGGAAAGCTTTCTTACAACATATAATAAGCTCAGAGACTGCGTCTAAGTATTCCCTTGGTCGAAGGAGCATTTCCAAAAGCAGCTGGATGAGCAAGTATCTTAATGCATGCAACCTATTTGCATCGCCACTAAGCCCACAATTCCTTTCCTGTGATTGAAGAATTCAAGAATTTGTATGTCATGTCAAAGAGCATATAGAAGAAGATATAACAACCAAGCAACCGAAAGACTGAACTAAAAGTAATTAACTAGCTTTCATCTGAAACTTCAGTTCTTAAGTAGTTCAACAGAACATGTTTTAGAAGGTTAGAAGACACAATTTACAAGACCCCAGAACAAGGGATCGGTAAGTTGTCTTATTAAGGCTTGCATCAGAATCAAACCTACCCTAAAATGAATGCAAAAAGTTGGCCTTTATTAGGAAAATAACCATTGGAAACACATTCCCCTAATTCTAAACCTCACTAATTTCATAGTTTTAAGTTATATTGTGGTCTGATTCAACTTCATCCAATCTAATATTTGGAACAGACCTTGAAATTCAAAATGGATTGGGGTGCTCAGATGCATAAACCTGAAATCACCCTTCCCCTCACCAATAAATATGTGCAGCTAAAAAAGGTCACGTAAGTACCTCTCTTGAAAGTGAAGTTTCCATTCCTTGTATTTTTTTCAGTGTGTCTTCTTCTTCAGTTTCCAAAGGCCGAAAGAGAGAAATTGAAGGAATATTGCACAAAGTGCTAAGAAACCGCATAAAGTATGAGCCAAGATCATTTGGCTCAAGGCAATTTGGCAAAGCACGTGGCCCCTCTCCTTTCTGAGCATTTGCCAACAATAACTGGA